TATATATATATCCACATATATTGACTATTATTTAAACTGTAAGGTATTTGAAACAATTTATCAATAACTCTGAATCTGGTGAGACAGTGTTTCTGGAATATGACGTGAATAATACTGTTCATTGCTTTGAACTATGCTACAATGATCAGAGATACTTCTACACATCAATATCTTCACACGACGTGTATAAAATGCATTATTAGCGCTTCTATAATACACTTAGCCAGTTTATTTTACTTCAAAAGGTTCTGCTGGAAACCAAAAACTTTTGTAAATCTTGAACTGTTTATCTCTTGGGACAAAGGTTATGCTAAACCAGATGTGCCACGTGTTTTGTGTTTGCATTTTCGTAGTGAATCTAAATGTTTTTCAGCAAAACATAGCAATTTGTAACTATAGAAGACACAATATTCGTCAAATTCCACTTTTTGACATATATGGCAAATGTTAAATACTTATTTTACTTGGTTAATCTGATTTACACAGTACGAAGTTTTTAAAATCGAAACAGTGTTCATTTGTTGTTTCTTTGCTTATAGGATATATATATGTGTTAATAACTTGTATATACAATAACAAATTGTTAAACTTCCGAATGAAACTTGTCATTTTTTTCAGTAGATAGTGACAGAATTAATGTAAGCTGACTGGTCTTCTTTGTACAGGTTAAATAGAGTTAGCACAGTTTATGTTTAAAGTAGCTTTAATACGAAGAAAACAGTTATTTTCAGGACTACATAGGTTTTTATTATTTCATGTTAATACTAGTATATAGATAATTCTTTGATAAATCATGAAGTGAACTGCACCAATGTTAAACTATAACAAACTTGATGTAAAATACAATATCATTTTTCATATTCAAACGATTTCGTTTATTACTAAATGTTTAAATGAGATTACAAGAAGTTCTGTTGACCAGATGTTTCAACAACTTACTAAAGTCCTAGTTTTTGTTTATGTATTTTTGAATTAATCGAAATGTTAAGAAATATCTTAGTTTTACAATCAAAATACATGTTATTAACTAAGGTGCTACTTTTTGACAACCTAAAATGGTAAGCATTACATAATCTATTATGTTAGTGTGACTACTTTCAGAGAAATTATGTTGAAGAATATTATATTTTATACATTTTCATTTTGACAATATGGACGTTTGTAACTTTAGCTTACATAAAAAATAAAAACAAAATATTTCGTGTAAGATCTATGCAGCCTGAAAAATTTATGTATAAATTAATAAGCATGAAAGCATTCCTTTTCAGGGCGTCCCTTTAGTTAAAAATATATTCTTCGTACTTTGGATCCACATGACAGTCAAATCCCACTATTTAGTCAGGCAAGAACAGGCCAAGAATTGATGGTATTGCTGTTGCCCAACTGCCTATCCTCTAGCCTATCGATAGCATTTTGTGCAGCTTTGTGCGTAAACTCTAAGGGTGGACTCATAATGAACTAGCTTTAAACATCACAACTAACGTGCACTCCATCTAGTTAGGCCATGTAATTGGCGAAATCGTTCGATCTCCCCTCCTGATGACCCCCATTGAGGCATCATCCTTTGGTGGGGCAAGGGAGGTGTCTAAGTGGACTAACAACTAATAACAGCTTTGTCTTTAGAACTAACTAGCCTTATTGTTTTTAATAGTAGTTTATAGCTAACTAGGCCTATTGTTTTTAATAGTAGCCTATAGCTAACTAGACCTATTGTTTTTAATAGTAGCCTATAGCTAACTAGGCCTATTGTTTTTAATAGTAGCTTATAGTTAACTAGACCTATTGTTTTTAATAGTAGCCTAAGCTAACTAGACCTATTGTTTTTAAGAGTAACTTATAGCTAACTAGACCTATTGTTTTTAATAGTAACCTATAGCTAACTAACCCTATTGTTTGTCATAGTAGCTTATAGCTAACTAGCCCTATTGTTTTTAATAGTAGCTTATAGCTAACTAGACCTATTGTTTTTAATAGTAGCTTCGCTTCTATGGAAGAGAATAATATGCTAGTATTTATACCACGTTAAAACTGCTTCAATATCAAGTTTTAAGAATATGATCAAATACGTACTTTTTTAATCATTTTAACGTGTGTTAACTTGTTTTACTATTGTCCCTTCTCACCCTGCAAAGATCATGTTTAAACATAGCTATGTATTTGGTTTCATAACGTTCTCTAAACCAGTTTTTAAATTATTTTGTAACTTAAGACTTTTGTTTCTACTTTGCTTCCTTTCAACGATGAATTCAGTGACATCCCAGTGTTTATTATAAAGTTGTACAGTTACTTGCTGTATTTGTACAGTGATATCGAGTATAGGGATGGTGCGTGGTATAGGCGCGAAACTCACTGCTTTGTTTATATCAACGGGCGGGGGAAGACTGGGTTGGTATAGCAGGCGACGGTTCGAATGGCCCAAGGTTTGACCACAGATGTGCCGCAGAACATCTCCGTACTTGCACTTATGAGGGTGTTATAGCTATGAGAGTCAATCTTGCTATTCGGTTAAGAGTAATCGGGTGTTGCTGTCTGTTAATCCCCCCTTTGGTCAACAGGAGTTCTAGGTTATACCTAAGCCTTGTGTCACATATGGCGCTGTTCAGGTTTATTATACCAAAACGTGTAAAACAGAAAGGTGTGGGTATGATATTTGTTTTATGGTGAGATTAATAACCTTATTTTTAAGTTCGTGATATTTACCACTATCAAAGTTGAAATGAAAATACATTTTTTAAATATAATCTGACATAAGATATCTGGTAATTATACTTCATCCAAACATTTGTGTAAAATTTATAATTATATAAATTTTGACTTTTTTGTTTAATAAGTATTTTCCAAATTTTAAAAAGTTTCAACTTTTAATCTGAATTGAATAATGTCAATAATCAAACATTTTTGGTTTATTTTGAAAACGAACGTTTTGGATGTATTAAGTTCATATAAATATTTAAAATCAAATTTAAAAATATTGCGTTTGTGTAAAAACAGATATCTAATGTATCACAAAATTTGTGAAAATTAATTAATTATTTTTTTTTTTGCACCGGTGTCTCAACGGTGAGTTTGAGGGCTTATTACTTTAGAAAATCGGGTTTTGATCCGTGGTAGGCAGAGCACAAACAGCTCACTGTGTAGTTTTACGCTTAACAAAAAAAAAAAACATTTCTGTTAATATTTTTACTTTTATCTTTATCTGTAACTTTCTCTTTAAGCTCATTATTACAGAACTGGACATTTAATGGAAAACTTACCAATACAAGATTTATAACTTAAAGAAATAGTATTAGAGTCCTAATAATCTTAATTTACATATTACCAATATCAGAAGGTAAATAGCATATATTATTTCTATGACCCCGTTTCTTGTGAGAAACTACTGCTAGCTTCAAAGGGCAGTTTTAGAGTAGAACTTAATTTCATTATATTTTTTGTTCTTACAAATTTTAAGCTTGCACTCAAAGGTTGAATCTATAATCGGGTTTATCCGACTTGACATTTATAGCCGTTTAGTGCGACAAGCGGATTTACCCCACGGTGTCACAAAAACCTTTCCTCATAGTGCGCCAATCGCATCACATGTTTATTGGGATCTAGATCCTTTTCGGGATCTGGGAGGGGCAGATACCATTTTCCATCTCTTCCTGCCACCTGTACTGGTGTTTAATCGCTTCACGATTTTGCGTGTCGTCCTTGAATCGTTTGAATTTTGGTATATTAGTGCTGAGGCAAGTATTTGCTGTTTAAATGGTGAACATTACACGAAAGAGGGTGTTGATATTACTTTAAGGAATGCAAGGCTGAAGATACCGTAGACATTACTTACTCAAACTACAAATCCATATTTTGACTCCAACAAATGTAACTCTAGGTAACAGCAATGAGCCAAAATAGGGGTTTCTAGTTTGAGTAAA